TCCACACAACTTCAGGCATATTCCAGGCGGCAATAGAAGAATTCATTCGCAGACTCGATAGTGTGTTAGCATACCAAGGCGACGTCATTGTGTGTAGTAAAACAAAGGCTGAGCATGACGATAGATTTCTCAAATTACTGGAACTTTTCATCAAAAAAAAGCGATCAAAAACTTCTCAATGAGTGAGGAATCATATTGCAAGCCTACGACCACAGGCCATTATCCTAATGTCATAGTTCTTCAAGGCAGCTCCGGGATGGGTTAAGGATCCTGAAATTTGATTGAATTATCAATTAAATAAAAGAAAACAAACATTATTCATATCAGTCTAATCCCGGGCTGTTCATGAATGACATGCATACTGTTTAGTGCACAAATTATTCAAAACAAATGGATGGCGGATCTGTGGCGAGTGAGCTGCGTCTGCGTCGGTCACAAATGTACAAATCAAATCATCACTCCTTTCCAGTTAGTCTATCGCCGTCAGGTGTTATAAGCATCTGGGCAGGTTTTTAATGTTGATACGATTGCAGTATGAGATTGTCCGTGTAGACGGCAGGTCGTTATCCCCATGGTGCTGAATTAACAAGCCGATGTGAGTTCTTGCTCTGGTCAACTTCTGACATCGACTATCGTCTTTTTTGGAGTTCATTGGGACGGTTTTATATATATATCTACTGGATGAAAAAATGGGGGCCTTAATCATGTGCAAAAGTCTTTCCAGCAACAAAGGTGGCTCACGTTAGCAAACGCTGTTTACGGTTTTCCATTTGGCTCAACTTCCGTATAGTGCAGGCTCCCAGGCAGTCTTTGTAGGTCAAGAGATTCGATCACTCAGTTTCAGTGCAGTTTGAACAACCATTAACCATACACTTTCACGTACCGGTTTTGGCTGCTGTCATTCGATTACTATCAAATTCAAATCCACATAGCTTGTCATAACCAGCAACCTAAGCCCTGAGACTTGGAGTGAACTACATAAGGCTTCAATAGGGCAGACGAGGTATTGAGTCGGACGACACCAAAACTACCCACAACCGAAACTGAGTGACGATGGTGGGGTACAAAGCTCTAATTCCAGAGCCCCCAATCATGTCAGTGCCTGAAACCGCTGGACTATCCTGTACATAAACAGCTTAATCATTGCCTATTTCGTTGGCACGCCTGGCTCATTGGGAATCTTAGGCTATTTCCCGCTAATCCCCGAAACGTGTTACTAGCCTCCACAACTGAACAGCAGGATTCCGTGGCTGAGATTTACCCCTTCCACAACTCGTCGTACAGCTGGGTGTAGTAGAAAAGGAACATCTGTTTGCAAGGTAAGTGTTATTCTTGTTACCCACTAACTGTCTGCCCCCACCTCAGTTCAGTTTTTACAACCATGCACTTTTGTGCGCCGGTTGTGGTTGCTGTTTTTTGGCGCCCCATTTGGATAAAAGAGTAGAATGAATATTGGAATGTTCAAAGCAAATCCAAGCGGAAGATGGAGAATTCATATAGCCTGGTGTTAAGAGCATAACGAGTAGATGCATGAGCGCCACTGTATGCGGCACAAAGTGTCTCTAACTAGTCGTGACTATGATCTCGGGGTACCCAGCCAAAGAGCCTAACGAGGCCTATGTGACCTAGTCTCCTGCTTGGGGTTTTCACATCCTCATACCAGGTTTAAGCTTGACCACCTTTGACCTTTTGCCACCTACTATCTACCTTGGCAAACATCGGTCGCCGTGGCAGCCTATTTGGTGGCATGCGTAACACATTCCCCAACCAGCGTAATCTATGATGGTCGGTCACTTGCTCTAGTGGACGACTGCGACCACTTAAAATTCTACGCCTAACCTTAGCACTGCTAGTCCGGTTACCCACTGCAGAAGCTTGTATTCGGGAGCTGCAGATCAAAGGGACATAGGATATTTCGAAAATGGGTCTATGCGAGGTCAGATGATCAGCAGGGATAGCAAGGAGCATGAGATTGACGACAGTCTTCTTCTAATGGTTTACTATCTTTTTGCCATCCTTCAGAGGAAAATGGTGGCAGCCTTGTGTTGATGGGTTTGTCTGGTGCCACTCCCCTCAGCAGTTTGTCATTGGACTGGATTTTCTGTATTTGTGCAATACAGTCCAAACCACTGATGAGTGGTTAAACCCCACAACTAGTCCCAGCACCCGTTTCTTATGTTTTGAGACCGGCCATGTGGAGCTGCGAGGGTTAGTTATTTTCGGGAAGGTGAGGTTTCCAAGAAAGGATTTTGCCTTCCGGGAAGGGGTCTGGTCCTTAGAGAAACAGCCCTCACCCTCCTTGCGTAAGCTTCTTCAATAGTCAGCTTTTTGACTGTCTAGGATATCTTGTTGGAATAACTTAATCTCTTACGAAGCGGCCTTGGTTGTTTGGAGCTTATTCCAGATGAACAACCTAAGCTCCGAGAGCTGTTGTTCGAGCCGTGAAATATGAGCCTTCATTTTTGCTATCTCCTCCGTTTGTGCTTTTTCTGCTCGTTCTTGTGCAAATGGGGAGTTCTCAGGTACGGTTTCGCTGAATCACATTCCAAGGGTGTCAGCAACTACGTCTGCTCAGATAGGAAAACTTGTCCACTTTGTCTACTACTTCCCCAGTCAGGGTGGGATTGGGTGCTGGACCAACCTATTCATGTAGCGACATTTTACACTTTGAAGGTACAAAACGCATACCGAACATGGCTACACTAGCACTCAAACTGTCCAGAAAAGCTTGCAACTTACCTGGATCTTCACTTAGTAGCATAATATCATCTGCATACTCTAGATCAGACAGTTTGCCACCAGGAATTAACTCAATACCACTGTCCTCGCATGAAGATAGGGCTGTTTCAAGAATTAAATCTATCACGAAGTTAAATAGAAAAGGAGAGAGAGAGGGCAACCCTGTCGACCACCACTTTCCGTGGTGAACTCGGGTGATAAAGTGCCGTAAGCTCGGCCTCGGTTTCGGCTATTAGGATAGAGCGATTGTAATATTGAAATAAACTTCTCGGGCACACTCTTCGTTCTCTGTTATTCTTGTTGTTGCATTGGCACCATGCTCGTTTGCAAGCCGGTGGTACATATGTACCCTGAAGTGGCAAACCACAAAAGCCTCCCTAGGTTAATCGTGATACTGAACTAGACGACGACAAAGCTGCCTACCACCAAAGAATATGGGATTCACCCCGCCTGCTGTTCCTCACACGAATGTGTATTCAAATAAGTTACAATTTTTATGGAGTTTTGTCGGCTTTCTATAACTATTACAAAACCAAATGTATAGAATTTGAAGCTATATACATAAGAGAGAACTGATGAACGAACGCTACTGTGTAAAACACTCAAATCTACCGCCCACTACCTCCAACACTCGATTAAGCCTATTCCAAAAACTAGAACGGGGAATTCTAATACGATTAACATAATCAAGTTCGCTGGTTAAAGATTTTATACATTCACGTCGGATAGTCGCTCGATCAATTTGCACACACTGATCGTTTCGGGACACATCAAACCGACGGTTGTCCGATGACACGGGCAATATTGCTCTTTGCACGGGTCAGTACGACCGTTATCAGTATTATCGTACAGTAAAATATAGTGAAGCGAATAACGTCAATCGCTGTAGAGCTCGCAAAGTACATTAAGTACAAGTGAACGCGAACCGTGCTTCGCCGGGGATTGCAAGAGAAGCATCAGGCATGAACGGTATCCAACAAGTAGCGAAGCCTTTTGCTCTTCGCCTGATATAAATGACTCCGCAACAAGGCCAACAAAACCCCACGGACCACCAGACTCGCCTATGAGTTGACCATTGCAAACGAAGTTCGCTTCACTGTATCTCGCTGTACGACGATTGCAAACAAAGCTAAAAACAAATCCTAAATGTATTGTTTTACGCCCGAGGTCGGTCTTGTTTAAGAGGAGATTCGCGGTGCTCTATGCCAATGACCAACTTTTGACCACGGACAAAGGAATTGCTCACTCCTTTACCACCTTATTAAGAGAGGTCTTCCGGTATAACAGCACGAAAACAGTCCGTGTGAGAGCTTTAACACATCTTAACCGACGGTGCCGGACGATCTCCAACCAGCTGTCATAATACCAACAAATTTCGTGGTGCTTCTTCAGCTAGCAACAAAGTTCAGTCAACTGCTCAACACCAACCAGGTTTCTGACCACATGCCACAATCTCAATCATTTGAGGTAGGAATAAGTCAATTCCTTCTAATTGTAATTCTATCATTCTCACCAGCATTGAGTTTAAGCTGCTGAAACACTTTCTATGAGACACTGGTTGCTAATACCTCGTGTGAGTTAAATTCTTCTGCAATGTCCAACACGGCTTCATCAAAAGTAGACCCTGGTTCACAAGGATACTGTCACAAACGGATTACATCAGGGACAGGAGGTCGTGTCATTATCATCGCAGTACAGTGAAATGAACTTCATCAGGTGTGGAACTCACAATATACACAAAGCACGAACACGTAAGGAGAACGAGTAGTGGATCTGTCTCGAAGGAAGGGGAAGAAAACTGAACCTCTATGATCAATACACAGAGTGTGCAGTCTCAGTTCAGTTCAGTTTTTATAAAAAATTAACTATGCGTTTTGGTGGGCCGGTTCTGATCAGTCTTAGGTCACCCGTTTGGAAAGAGGGAAACCCTGACGAACACCACTTTCCAGATTGAACTCGGACGAAGAAGTACCATAAGCTATGACTCGGCCATTAGTGTAAAGGGATTGGAATATTTGAATAACCTTCTGGGGCGTACCGTTCAGAGATAGCGCCAGAGTTAAGAGCGTTCGAACGAGTCGAAAGCCGCCTTCATATGAAGATGGAAGTGGTAGGTCTACGAAAGGAGTGTCTGTGTTCTAGAATTTGAAGAAGAGTGAAGACGTGGTCGATAAAACCTCAACAAGATATAAAACCGGCCTGATTCTCAAGCGTGCCCCATTCACGTGCAGTAGGCAATCGACGAAGTATGNCACCAGCGCGAGGTTTAGAAGAAATATTGATTAATTTAGTTTCTCTGTGGTTTTCACAAGAGGACCTGACACCTTCCTTGTAAATCGGTATGCTGACCGATTCACACCACTGAGTTGAGACCTGTTCCCTCTAACACACTGAGCCCAAGAGTTTCGTTAACCGCAAAACCAAGACTGAACCTCCACCCTTAAAGGCCAACGGGCCGGATGCCTTATACCTTTTGAGATAATTTATGTTCCGGGTAACCTCCAGTCTGCGTACATGCCAACCTATTCAAGCATTTGCTAAGAAATGACATCACTCCTGTCGGTTCGCTGCTTCGCCTAACAGTAATTCCGACAAATCAAGGACAGAGCCCTTCGGACCCCAATTTGGAAGATAAGACACCTACTCTAGCAAACCGCTGTTCACCTCTTCATGTCACATCTTTATATCTGCTGACTCCCATGCGATTTTCTCCAATCCGGAGCAGCAACAGTAAATAAGGTGCGATGGGGTAAGCAACCGTTAGGCACAGGTAATGTACTCTAACCAACGCAGCCTAATTATTCGATGCGATGGATTTTTTGCTTATATATACTATAAGACGGCGGTTTTTAACCTACTCACTCCATCCCAGCATCAGTTCCAGTGTTTGTTCTGAATGTCGTGATGTGACTTTTTTAAACATTGACTGCCAAAACCTCTAATCGATGGACGTTCTACCTAGAAATCTAAAAGATATTGGATTCCGTCAACCATAGGAAACTGGGCTTAATTTTACTACCTGCGACTGGATTACAGCGTTTCATTCCAGAAGTGTTCGCCAANCGGTATGTATGCTTTCTAATGAGTGGGGCGCTTGCCCTCACTTACCCCATACTTTGTAATATATGTCAATGCAACCTCAGGGTTGGAAAATCCATGCTTCTTGAATGCGATTTAGTTAGTTAGATGCCCTGGTGATAGAAACCCTACAGAGGCAAAATATGCGACTAGTCCCTCAAATTGAACTTCCAACAGCCACCTGGTGGTTAAAGTGAAGTCAATTATTCTCCGACGACTTCTTAATACCAACGGTGACTGTGAAACAATTGCCAACATACCGGAGGCAAGATCTCGAGATAAGAGGCTTGAACACTTTACTCCCGTCTTCTACCACCGAAGCGGTGACTGGGAGAGCTAAGCGGGCTCTATTCAGTCTCCGAAAGGCAATTAAGAGTCAATATCCTAATGTCTTCATGCCACTAGCGTGCACCCGGAGTACTGCGTACAATCCTGAGCGTCTTGGAAGGACATCGAAGTCCTGAATGAGGTTCAACGGGCAATAATCCACATGTTCTGAAATGACTTAGCTACTGCGAGACTAAACCCTGTTCAACGCCGTAGGTTGATGAGATCTAACAGAAACGTCTAAAACCACGAGAAACATGGGTCACCTTTTTGTACTACGGGACAACTACATCCTTAAAAGATATATCCTGTTGAGAGAACTAGAGTCAGTTTAACAATAAAACACCATTTCCTTAGAAAGTGGCTCTTGCTTGGAACAAACAGAATAGCTCAGTTGATCAAGTGTCCTTCAGCAAAGAACTTCAAACTGAAACTGGAAGAGGCATATATCAACCGCAGATCTAATCTGACGATCAGGCTTCTTCATGAAGTGCTCATATATTGCGGCACCCCTCTTCTACACCTTCCACATATTACTCCCTTTGCAGGTTGTCGGAAGAAGTCATTATGCTTGGAGATGAGTCGGTCGTCCATGGACAGACCCCACCAATACCAGGACTACCAACAAGTGAAAGCGTCTGCGTCCTGAGTTGAATTCGAAAAACGTGCGAGGTAGTTAGAAAGTGGGTCCTGTTTTGAAAGGGAAAATAAAATAAACTTCTAGTTAGCTCACAAAGTACACAGTTCAATCATGCATACACATCTGTCAAGCATTCTGATGTGATAAATGAAAAGAACGCCAGTGATAACACTTCGCCATTATATTTCTCAGTTAACAATCAACCAATCGGTTTGTAACCGTAAACAAATAATTATTAAGCTTAATCATTCATTTTCTCACGAGACTCGTGAAATGACACATGAACAGTAGGATTCCAATAATCCTTAGGTTTGACCTATGTAACGATTAATCCTGTGCACCATGATAGAATTAGACTGCTGGGACACGCATTCGCCCCTTAAAAGGATATAATGTTGGTTAAAACTGAAATAAAACCTCGATAAGCGTGAAGAAGCGTTATCTGGAGTGAGATTAATCTGCAGGTTAGTCATGATTACCCAGCAGTGTTTCACACCTGATGGAGCGGAGCACATTGACACACTACTCAGAAAAGCTTGCACCGAGCTTTGCTGTCTGCAAGCGAAACAATGCTACTAAGCAGACAAGGACAATCATTTCCATATCCACTGCACAGTGAAAAAGCAGATTTCCTTGCTGAAAAACAACAGCAAACAGATGGTCCTGCAAGGCGCGGTTTAGTACTCAAACAGGCTTTGAAAGTAACCAAAACTTAAGCTTTTCTAATAGAACATATCATTACTGATAAAACCAACTAAGATATACCTGGTATGACAAAACCAGGGGTCTTTGTTGCAAACAAACCACTTTTTCAGCTCTAAAAACTAGTCGTCAGAGACCGGTGGAGGTTACTGCCCGTTCAACTAAGTATTAGAGGAGCCTACCTGGAGAGGGCCTCCAAGGGATGTGGTGTTCGCGAAGAACGTGACACGCCAGCTCTTCTAGGCGAGATGAGGACATGAATTCCAAACAGTAAGCACAGGCCAGCTGGGCGATATCGCTGTGGCACAATGCGACATGGGTATTGAAAGCACGAATGGTAAATGGTTGGATGCTAGTATGATGCACATCTCTCGGACAAAACGGACAGCCTGGCAATGTCGTATCACCTGGATCACCACGTTTGCAGCTTAATAAATGGGTGGCCAAATTTTCTTCACTCTCGCAAACCCGTTGACACTGCCAACACTGCCATTCGTGAGGAAACCTTGGAGTTGGATGACGGCATCGGCTCCTCGAAACACTCGGAGGCAACGTGTTCTCGGTATCTAGAGGAGTTGATGAGTTTGTTACCGACGACGGCGTGGCATTATCTTCCTTCAAAATAGTATACAGTTTGCTGGGTGTCGTGGTCTGCGATTGCGCGAAATTCGTTTGTGGTGATTCCTTCAAAGGTTGTGACATGGGCCGAGTTCCCTGGAAGTCGGTGATCCCGCAATGTTTTCGCAATTTTTAACTATTAGAATGACATAGAACAAATGCGCAGAATAAATTTATCCACCACCAGTAAAACTGTGCGAAGTTTGAGTGAGGTGTAACCGACAAATTATAACGAGCGACTTAAACTTCCGTGCGGACAACATGCTGGCGGGAGAACGGAGATACAGTGATTTGCGGTCACCTTTCGCTGAGTGATTGGGTTCTTAGGCTATTATCATGGGAAAACTGTAAATTTTCTCTTCCTTCCTACTCGAAATAGGTGGACGACTGCGCTACATCGCCCAGCATATGGTGCCCTCCTCTAAGAGCCGTGAATGGCCAATCAGTTTCTTTGAGTCAATATGTGTTTCATTGGTTCAAATACAAATCCCACTGTTCCTGATCTTGATTTTTCTGAAATTCTCTCCAGTATGTCGGATTTCATAGGTAGTCACTGTCTTAGATCTCGGAAGGTCATTACGTCTCGTAGGAGACATATGGCTCTACCGCCTAGAGCTAATGGAGACAAGGCAGGATGATAACGAGAAAAGAATTGGTAAACTCCGAGAAAACGGTAGAAGTGAGTCTGAAATAAAGGTAAGGAAATGAGAGGAATGGATCTACTATGTGCTGAAGTATGGATGACATTCTTCATCAATACTGTACCATACAAAATTACAGGATAGAACAGGAAGACAGTACAGGGCATTTCACGAGACTTCCGGCTTGAGCCGGTGTGGTAGTCCAGATTCTTGCATCTACGTGCCACATGTGTCTCGTAACGCTTCGATAGTGAGTTGATCGGTCCTTCAGTTCAGTTCAGTTCGGTACCCAGGACAGTGTGTAGTGACTATGATTGTACGAAGAAAAGGAGCAATCCACGAGGACGTTTTCCGTTCATATTTTCTTCACAATCAACTCTGACTCGAACTGTGATATTTTCTTTGTTTTACTTCTGTTTGTTTTACCGAGCACGGTTTTTCGCTCAGGCGTATATATAAGCTGGGTCCTGTTCAAACCCACGCTACACGTGTGACACGCTATCGCTCTGCTACTGCATTTGTTGCTTGCTTTGTTTAGCGT